CCCCTTCCCCCCCTCTTTCAGTTGGCCGGGGGAAGACAGCAAGAGCCGGCGGGTAACCGAGGGTGGAAAGGGTGCCTGGGGGGGGGTCTCCAGCCCAACCCTTGCTCAGTTGGGCCACCTGAGGTCGCTCAGGGCTTTGTCTAGGTAAGGTTTGGATATCTCCAAGGATATTTCACGGGTCGTGAAATTGGGATCCTGCCCTGGTGTTTGAACACACTTGCTGTGGATTTTTTCCCCCTGACATCTAAAAGGCTAAGAGCAACCCTGTCACCTCCTGTCCCATCACTGCGTGTCTCCAGGAGGAGTGTGGCTCCCTTTTCTCTGCCCCTTCCTGTCAGGGAGCTGAAGACAGCAATGAGGGCTCCCCTTTGCCCCCCCTTCTCCAGGCCGACCGTCCTTGTACGACCCCTGCTCCAGCCCCTGACCATCTCAGCAGCCCTCGCTGTACTTAGATGGTTTTGGAAGCCCTGACCTGGACCCACTATCCAGATGGGGTCTACAAATGTCAAACAGAGGGAAAGAATTTCCCCCACTAAAGCAGGAGCGGAAGACACCCATGGCAAGTTTTCAGAAGGCATCAGTAAACCAGCAGAGAAGCCCGGGAGCCAAGATGGTGTGTTTGTGCATCCAAGAGAGAGGCCGCAGCGAGACTCACCCAGTGTCACCGTTTCCAACACCTCGTTGTCCGACACCACGAAGCCACCGGTATGAAACAGCTCCTGGTACGTGCGACCGGTTATATCTTCAGGGCTGTCCACTCCGGCAAACAGCACGTTGGGACAGTGCTTTAGCTCCAGCAAGCACGGGACCTGCTCAAGGCAGACATGCTTTTGCGCACACAGCTGTGTTTCAACAGCATTTGCACCTCTCTGCAGCTCACACCCGCTCCTGGGAGACCCGGGGAGCCCACCCCGTCCTCTGTCTGCGTCACCCCCACGCTCCTGTCTCCATAGCCTGACCCCAAAGCTGTGGATGGCGACACTGGGAGCTACCAGTGGCTCAGTCTGCTGCGACACTCGCTGGAGCCCATGAGCCAAATCCAGGTTGAACTCCTCCGTTACACAAGATAAGCCCAGCCTGTGAGCTGGGCCACATCAAGTGATGCTTTCCAGCGATCAAAAATGGAGACAGAAGAAAAGCAGAACTGACAGACTTCATGTTTTTGAGATGCTTCTTTTTAACAGCTCTTCATGAAGCACTGTTCTTTCAGTGGAAAGAACAGTGTATCCGCAGAGACTGACAATTAAACCTAAAGCTATATATAGCGTAAAATTTAAAAAATAGTGTAAAACGGATCCTGATATTCAAAAAATGGTGCTGGTAAAAAGAAAAAAAGAAGACAGACTCAGGCCTTACATTGTGGATGTGCAAGGAAATGTCCTCATTCCTGATGACGACGAGCAGCCTGTCCGTGTCCAGGTGTTTTGCTTCGCAGAAGCTCAGAGGCTCAATCTCCACGTGGCCGTCTTTCTTCAGCAAGGTCTGAAACGGAAATCATTGCAGCAGGTGAGAAGGTTTGTATGGAGAATATCTTCACAACAGGGGTGCCAGGCTCCTTGGCACGCATGTGCCTGGGGAGAGGAGGGAGGAGCATGACAGCAACCCCAACCAGGCCACCCTGGTGCCAAGGGCAACCCACAGTGTCCGTCTGTCAAAAGCACGGCGTGCTCCAGGCCGGGGCTCCAGCCAGAGGTGGAGGAAGCAGCTCTTTACCTCCCTTGGCAAAAACGTTTAGATAATCCCCTCGAGCATCTCACCGTACCGTGCATCGGGCCTCCTTGCTATTTTGGAGCAGCAAATCTTCCCATGCAATCACCCTCCTTGAGCTTCCAACCCTTTAATGAGAGCTCAAGCAACCTTGGGGGGGTTGAGTTTGGGCTGCTGCTGAACTTCTGATCCATTTTGGCCCGGTGGATGTTCAAATGATAGGACAAGAGGAAACGGCCTCAAGTTGTACCAGGGGAGGTTTAGGTTGGACATCAGGAAAAATTTCTTCCCTGAAAGGGTTGTCAAGCACTGGAAGGGGCTGCCCAGGGAAGGGGTCGAGTCCCCATCCCTGAGGGGATTTAAAAGCCGGGCAGACGAGGTGCTGAGGGCCAGGGTTTGGGGGTGAGATGGCAGGGGTAGGGGAACGGTTGGACTTGATGATCTTAAGGGTCTTTTCCAACCTAAATGATTCTGTGATTCTAATTTCTGGCAGTGGGAGCCGAGATGAAATGGCAGGGGCAGGCTCCTGGCTTAAGGCAACCAAATGCCATCCATGTCGGGTTGAGCAAGCTTGCCCTGTGCCTGCTCTTGCCGCCCTCAGCTCTCACCCCAGGGCCACCCATCCCCGTCCCAGCCAGTGGCACTCTGTTACCTTCACTCTTGCAAAGAAAGGGTCCTCGCCCGTCTCCACCAGGTAGAACATGCCAGTGCGGCCGCAGGCCTCCTTGGCCACGCTGCGCAGGCGGAAACGCAGCGTGCTGCAGAGGTCCGTGATCATCTCCTCGAAGGCAGCCATCCTCCTGGGAAGGGACGTGCACGTCCACTCACTCGCAGCCTCCCCGTGCGCCGGGACCGGCCCTCCGCCCTCGCTCCCCGTGTCAGCTCTGCTCAGCATCACCCTGTTGAACTCGGCGTACTCGTCAAGGATGACAGCAATGTCCCCCCGTGAGTCCTTTAGCTTATTATCGTATTTGAGCTTGCTGAGGTGGAAGGGAGCCGCGCGGCCCTGGCTCTGGGTTCGGGATCTGGCCCTGCCCCTCTCATCACAGAGGGTGTCCTGACACAGGGTACACGGGTCCCCATGCCAGCTGCTTTGCCGGTGCCAGCCGAGCCCGCTCGGCCACGTGTCAGAGGGCAGGATCGTCACCTGCAAAGGGCTCCTGCTCCGTGGGGAGAGCGGGATGGGAGCTTCTTGCACAGGCAATGTCTCAGACATCACCTGCGGAGGAAAGTCTTTTGGAAAGATGCTTTTGGAGGTAGAAAAGGGTGGTTTCCCACTCCTTAGGATTTGTTTTAGCTTATAATGGAAACGGAGACACTCCATGTCCAAAGTGTGCTGGGTGATTTCCTCAAAACCCCTCCAAGTCCCCATCAGTGACCTTAACAAATGAGACTGCCCTGCACAGTGGCTACGCCTCTTTGAAGGCTGCAAATCTCCCACCCTCCCCTGATACTTTTTGGTGACCACAAAATTCCGGTAGTCCTTGGTGATCCCCTGGCTGTCCCTAATATTGACATACGGTGGAACGTGCCCGCTGCTGGTTTCCCCCAGGCCAATGGGCCAGCCGCGCTCAGCCCACGAGCAGCCCCACTCCATGCCCAGCGAGCCCCAGTCCTCGCTGCACCCCTCCGTGTGCACCGAGCTCAGGGAGGAGGAGTCGCAGTTAGTCCTTGCGCCTATAGCATCCATGGATCTTGTAAGCAGGGACTGTGAAGTCCCCTCAAAATAATCCTGGTCCGAGTCACTGGAGGAAGTCTCAAACAGATCTTCAGAGGCAAAGACAGAGCCCATGCATCTGCCTTTGTTGGGGAGCTGCTTTGCCCTCAGGAGCACGTCTGAAATATCCTCAGTGTCACTAAGCTCCAGGCTTTCTCCAGGGACCCCACTGTGCACACGTAATGGCAGCACTGGGAAGGGGAGAGTGGGCATTTCTCCCTCTCCCACCTCCATGCTGGCACGGTGCAGATCAGCAAACGCGTCGGATCCCTCAGCCTCGTGCTCGCCCTGGTTGCACACAGACTGGGGTTTGCACAGTGGCATGAGCAACTCCCCTGCCGAAAAAGATGCAGGACTGGCAAGAGGGTCACTGCTTCCTCCTTCTGAATCCTCAGGCAGGATGGGTTCCTCCTCGTGGCTCCCTACCGCACCCACCGCTCGGCCCCCAGGGCTGGCACACCTGGGGCAGGTGCCCGTGCAGCAGGACCTTGGGGCACTGTCTGGAGCCAGACTCGTGCCAGGAGAGAGCGTCCTGGGGTGCATGCCAAGGACTGAGTACTGCTCAGGGCTGTGCAGACCCGCCTTGTGACCACGCAAAGGAGAAGGAGGCATTGATTTCGGGTCACCTGGCACAAGCTCATCTGCGGGGGAGCTCTCCGTTGGCTCTGCATAGCACGGACCCATGTCTTTTTTCACCTCTTCTGCACATCTGGGCTTTGAGGAGCCATCCGGGCTGTCGACAGCCACGCTCACCTCTGCAGCACCTACTTGCTCGCAGGACTTCCCGTGTTGGCACAGGACTGGCCCCTGCTCGCTTTGCTCTAACAAATGGTGGAGGGGGTCTGTGTCTCTGCCACAGGGGAGAGGGTTCTGCTGAGGGGGAGAAGCAGGAACACAGCCTGCACAGGCAGGGGGGGAGCTCTGCTGCTGCCCGGGGTGCTCCTTCATGGCAGACATCCCCTCTCTCACCGAGGATGAGGGCTCTGATTCCAGCAGGTCATGAAGGGAGCTCTCTGGCTCCTGCGGTGGGTTAGTGACCATCCCTGTGTTCGTTTCATTGCTCCTGGGGGAATTCTCTGCACCGAGGCACACATCATCTCTCTCCCCAGCTTCAGAGTCACTTGCTAAGGCTGTATAGTCAAAGGCAAAGCCCTGCCCGTCACCCGCTCCCAAGGACTCATCCAGCACATCTGCCTGGTTAGCAGAAGGGCTGCTCTGCTCTTCTTCCACCAAAAACTTGTTCCTGTCTTGGTTTGATTCACCGGTGCTCAGCAAGGCGAGGTCAGCATAAACATCACCTCCACACCTTTGGGAAAGGCAGCTGCTCCCTCCCAGACCACTCTGCGATGGAGACTGGATGCTTGCCATGACCTCCTGGTCCTCTTGAGCAGCCCCTGGATCTGTTGCTCCATCAAGAGACGTGAGGCAGACAGAGCTGGAGTCAGGGGACAAGGTCAGTGACAGTCCCTGGCCGCAGGGTGACTCAAGGCCAGCTGTGCCGGCAGCTTTGCTCCCAGCAGGCACCCACGTTTCTGCAGAGGGCGCACAATCCTTGTCTTTCTGCTCCAAGCTGTCCCTGAGCGTCTCTCCGGCAGGTCCCACATTGCCTGTAACACTGTCTGGCTGTGTCCCACAGGCAAGGCTCGGATCAGACGGTAACGGCAGCATCAACCCGCTGTCACAGGGTGACCCCGCATCGGCTGGACTGGCTGCACGTGCCAAACCAACACCGTTTGTCTCCATACCCAAGGCGGCTGGAGCCTCCCAAGGCTCTTGCAGTGTGTCCAGACTTGGTGCCATCTCACCAGGAAGCCCCTGAGGGCCAGTCCCAGTCCCATCTGACAGCACTGGTGTCGATCTGCCTGGGCAGGAAGACGCTAAGGCAGTGGGGCTGGGCACAGGGCCCTCTTCAGGAAGGCCAAGGTCCCTCACACATGCTGAATTCACTGACTTCTGCTCACTGTGTTCGTGCTCCATGTCAGCATCACCGCTTTCAGAAAATGCTAAATCAACAGACCTCAGGACTGTGCTTCCATATTCGGAGTCCTCTTTTTCTTTTTTCCCCTCCTCCACCTCTTCCTCCTCTTTTTCTGGATGTCCAAAGAGGTCTTGTGATTCCCTCCCTTCCCCACCGGCTCCATCAGGCTCTGCACTTCTGGGATGCACTTCTAAGGGCACTGAATCACAGGCACGTTGCAGTCCGTCGCTGGTGGCCCAGCTGCTGTCCTCAACCTCCATACCGTGCCCAGCATCCCCCATGCTCTCCCTGTCCTCAGGAGGGCCGGGGCCACCCCCTGACCCTGCTGCCCACCCACTCTCTTGCTCACACAGCACACTCGGTGCATCACTCCAGGGTGCTGTACTGGGATTTGGGGCTTGGCTGTGTGGGTTTTCCCTGCCCAGCGCAGCCGGGGGCTTGCCGTCATTGCTGAGCTCATTGGAAGGGCTGGGGGCAATCGTAGTGTCCAGCAGTCCCTCCTTAGGTGGCTCCTCCTGAAACAACACAATTCAGAGGTTAATCTTCAAGGAGGCAAATGCAGGAGCTGAGACACCCATGCAGGAGGACATGGATATTTTAAATGCTCAAACTTTGTGAGTACAACCATTCCAACAGCATCTGAGGACGTTAGTCTGAGTTTGTCTCTAAAATAAGTCCAGGCTGAATCCCTACCCCAAGTGAGCCACTACCATCCCCACTGCAGCCTGCAAGCAGAGTCCCACAGACAGCCAGGGAAAGATTTTTAAACTTTCTACCTTCTTTACACCACAAAATGGCTTAAAACCAGGCCAAACGGAGCAGAGGCCATCACCCCAGAGGTAACTCTCTACTGAGTTTACCCCTCCAAGCAAGTTATAAGGACACTATGGACAGTGACTCCACATCTCCCAAAACACTCCTGCCTGCTCCACAGCACTAAACCCAGGTGGTAAAAACCACTGGGATATTTTTTCCTTCATGCAAAACAGTCGCAGCCCTATGGCAGCTGCCTGTGTGTTCAGAGTGGAAGCTTTAAAGGAATTATTTTAAGTCAGGCTTGAAAAATGTCATCAGACACCCATGTTTTAATTTTACCCAAGTACCTCTGCTTCTGACCATCTGTAAACTGTAGAAACTATGAAAAAATAATTAGACCCCCCCCACCCAGAGCGGAATATTAACTAACTTTGCAGAGGGGAGAGGGAAATGTTGCAAAGCACTGCACTGCTATCTGTGTGAGGGAAACCTCTCCATGCCAGCAAACCTCAGCTCTCCCAAACCAGCAGAGGAAAGGCTGTGCCATGTCCCGTGACACGTCTGGGCTGCTGCAACCATGGGCAGACAAATGCAGTTGCCCAAAGGCGACAGGCAGGCTTTCCAGTGTCGGTCTGGCACGTTTGTGGTTCCTCTCCTCCCTCTGTAAAGTGCAGGTCTGAGACCTCGGCCAGGCTTGCACAGCTCGCAGCCGAAACCTGGGACAGATGCCAAGCTTGACACTTTCATTGCTCTAATTCTTTGGGATTCCTCCCCCTTGGAAAGCATCCATGTCGAGGCCCTGGTCCCTTGGATGGGGATAGATACAGCTCGTGCCAGAGCCTGGGGATGCCAGCTCGGTCCAAGAGGACATCCAAACCTGGATTGAGGCCTGAAGGCTCTTTTTGTGGTGACTCCAAGCATGTCTGTGTGGCAATCTCTTGTGGCAGCTAAATGCTGGGGGGACATTTCTCTGTCCTGCTTTGGACACCCCCACTTATCTGTCTCTAAGAGGGCCCACAAGGATGTCTGCTCTACTCCTCTTAGAAGATCCTACTTCTATAAGCACGAAATGCATTGTGTGCCCTGTAGACTCGTCTCACCCAAACCCCAAGCTCTTACCGCAGTGATGGTTGAGACGTCATGCACACACTCCTCAGGAACGACCGCCGGCTGCCTGTCTTTCACAGCCAGGCTCTCATCGGCCTGTTCAGCAAGGGAAAGGTTCTCGGGACAGCTTGTGGAGGAAGGCTCCTCCTCCCCACAGGGCAGCTCCTCAGAAGAAGACGATACCGTGCTATCGACAACACCAGGAGTCCCATCAGCATCAGTCTGAGAGTCTGCAGGGCTCTCCTCTGGGCAGAAAGGTCCCTGGCAATGCGTGCTGTGATCCAGAGAGCTGCTGGGAGTCTGCTCAGGGTCTGACCGAGAGTCTGCAGGGCATGTCTCCAACCCAAAACAATCCTCACCATCATCACTCAGCTCAAGAAAGTCCCCAGTGCTGTTTATTGAGACGTACTTCTCGGGGTTGCTGTGCTCCACCACCTTCCTCGTGCTGCTCAGGAGTTTGCTGGGTTTGCTGTAGAAGAGAGCCACCCACATATGAAGTATCAGCTTCATCTCTTCCACGTCATCAGGCAGATCAGGGTCCCAGGGCCTGGAAGGAAAAGAAAACACAGCCTGAAATGTCTTCATCCTCCTTCCAGTTGACTAGCACAAGGTAACCGATCTCCTGGTTCCCCACAGTGCTAAGCCCCAATGCAGGGAGGCTGCAGACACAGATGAATCGATGAAATTTTTACAGCTTGTCAAAAAAAAAGAGAAACATCTGCAAAGGAGGACTTTTGTTCATGGCTCTAAGGTACCAACTCTAGCTGCAGAGCCACAGGAATCATAGAACAGTCTGGGTTATGAGGGACCTTTAAAGATCACCTAGTCCAATCCCCCCTGCCATGGTGGAAGATACTAGGGGCATTTTCCACCAGATCAGGTTGCTCAAAGCCCCCTCCAACCTGACCTTGATCACTTCCAATGATGGGGCATCCACAACTTCTCTGGGCAACCTGTTCCAGCGTCCAACCACCCTTGGCATAAAACATTTCTTCCTTATGTCCGAACCAAACCTACCCTCGCCCAGTTTAAAACCGTTGCCCCTTCTCCTGTCAACTACAGGCCCTGGTAAAAAGTCTTTCTCTGTCCTTCCTATTAGCCCCCTTTATATATCAAAAGGTTGTAATAAGGTCTCCCCAGAGTCTCCTCTTCTCCTGGCTGAACACCCCCAACTCTCTCAGCCTGGCCTCAAGAGCACAGGGGTTCCAGCCCTCGGATCATTTTTGTGGCCTCCTCTGGACCCACTCCAACAGGTCCACGTCTCTCCTGTGCCGAGGGCCCTAGATCTGGACACAGGGCTCCAGGGGGTTCTCCCCAGAGCAGAGCAGAGGGGCAGAATCCCCTCCCTCGCCCTGCGGGCCATGCTGCTTTGGATGCAGCCCAGGGTAGGGTTGGCTTGCTGGGCTGCAAGCGCACATTGCCGGCTCATGGCCAGTTTTTCATCCACCAGTACCCCCAAGCCCTTCTCCGCAGGGAAGACACACCAGCTTTAGCACAGCAAAACTGGGCATCTGAGCATGGGGGAAAAGGCAATTATCATGCAAAGCAAAGCAAACAAGAGCAAAAAAAGCCCCTTTCAAAAGTGCTGCAGATGTCCAGCAAGACACGTCTCCTGCAGATGGCCTTCAAGACTGACTTACCCATGCAGGGCACGGATGACTGTTTTCTCCAGGGCATCGTTGGTGTACCTGCTGTCCAGGTTGAAGAGATACTCTGCCTCCCAATGGCACATCACCTTCACGGACTCGCCACAGATGTTCACTGTGTGGGACTTGGCAAAGTCCTCCTTCATCCTGGGGGAGAGCAGGCTGCTCCTGTGCCTCATCATCACAGCCTCAAAGGGTCGCTGGTGGTGGGTGTTGTTCTGCTGGTGGCGGAAAGGCAGGACTTTCCCAACAAGTGGTCCTGCTCGGGTGTTCCTGGTCCCGTTTCTGGAGGCTGCTGGTCCAGGGTAGGGGGCATTTCTAGGATACATGTGTTTCTTTGAGTGCTCAGGCATCTGCGAGGCGTATGAGTGCTCGGCGGAGATGAAGGAGTGTTTGTTCACCTCGGCAGCTTCTTGAGTCTCTCTTGGAGGCAACACATGGCGTTTTGCAGGGCTGGGGCTTGCACTGTTCTTCTTGTTCAAAATGCCAGGGCTTTTCTCCCTGGGAATAGAGGCTAAGTCATTTAAGAATATTTTTTCAGACTGGTTCGGCGATACTTTGCTAGGAGAGGTGGCTCCCTTTGCAAGCTTGTCTACCCTGTGGTATTCATGGTCGGAAGCAACACGCAAGGATTTGTGCTTGCGATTACCCTGCTGCTCGTTTGCAGAGTCGCTGGAGGGGCTGCAGGACACAGCAATCATCCTGCTGTCCCTGGGGATAAATGAAGGAATACAAGAACCCAGAGCCAGATCAGCCAGCAAGTTCAAGGCGTGGGACTCGTAGTTGTCCCCCTTCAGATCAAAACCGAGATCAGCAACCCCGCCTGGGTAAATCTCACTCGTTTGGCTATCTGCTCCGTGGCATTGGGAAGAAACCTCGCTCGGGAGGACAGAGGATGGCTCCTTCCAGTCTGCGAGAGAAAAACAAAGTCAGAGAATAAACAAAGGCCACAGAGCTCTGCCTCAAGAAGGGATTCAAAGCAGGCTTTCAGTTTGGCAGGAAAAAAGCGTCTCTCCAACGTGGAATTTGCACACTTAAAAACTGAACACCTCCACGACCATGCTACAAAACCACCTCCATGGCTGCTACAAAAGGATCCAGTGTTGGGATCTAAGCAACTTTAGGAAAGGGATTTATTCTCACAAAGAAAAGGGATCCAGAGTGAACAAAATTTCCCTTGTCCTCTGTGCACAGGGTAGTTTGGCCACTTAAATACAACCTGAAATATTTTAAGTGTTTCCTTAATCCTTTTTTTTTTCTTTAGATTTTCTTCTAGATAAACCCCTGCTATGCTTTCAATAATTCACAGTTACCGAAAAACCCTGTCTAAAACACAGAGAAAACCCACCCTGCTCTTATGCTTCCCGCTGCACACCCTCTCAAGAGCGTAACCTGCCCCTGAGCTGCACTTCAGAGCACACGCAGAAACCTGGGGGCTCCCAAAGGCAGTCAGAGCACAGCAAATTAGGTGTTTGTTTAGTTTCCAGCGTTAAAAACGCCCCTCACTATGGCTCAAGGCCCACGTTCGTAAAAACAGTATGAAGTCATTAAACAAGGTTAATGCCCTCTACTAAAAACCAGCACAAAAAATCTCTCTTCAAGTAGAACTTTATTAACATTCATTTATGCTGAAGTTCTATGTGTTACATTTAATTCCCTTGGGAACGGCATAGTAAGACATATAAATTGAGTATTTCTTACTCCTAAACATTCTGATTTTGCATTTGTGGCAGATCTTGGCGTTCAGC